AATTTAGGTGCATACCATGTAGTCATGGTGACAATCTTCCTACTTTAAATGTCATCAAAATGATCTGCTGATCATCGCAGTGAAAATGTTTCTTAAAAATTCAAATCTCTTTAGCAACTGTTCACACTCACTCCATTACCAGTTAGGTTTAATGTTATTTATTCAAAAGCATTTTCAAAATCAATGAGACTGCCTGTTAGTCAGTTTAATAGCTGACTTGCTATTAAACTCTTATTCAAATTAATTTAGGTAAAGTGATTGGCAGATTTGCTGATTTGCTATTAAACTCTTATTCGAAATAATTTAGATATAGTGATTGTCTATTATCGAGTGTTCTCAAAGGTTAAATAAAGGAATCAAAGCAGCTTTCTATTATTTCCTGTTAATTGTCTTAATTCCAATGAATCATGCAACCTAAAATAGAGCAATCCAAAGTGTTAGGATAAAAATACCAAGGCATTGTCACCTGTTTATTTTAATATTTATAGTAAATGTTACCTATTTCAATTTCAGTTATCTTCAATACATAGAAAAGTCACAAATTACTAAAACCACCATCGATTCATTTGTTTGATTCCCTAATTATCTTTTACTACTACTATTACTATTAGTAAACATATCCATGTTTCATCGTAATTGGAAAAGCTGCAGTACGTGATAAAAGCTTTGGGAATCCTAATTCTGCCATCCAGATGTATCACGTCACTATGGATCTGCAGGTTACACAACACCTATAGGACAATAATTGGCCCGTTATCTTACCGCCACAACAGCATACCCGCTTGTTCAATGCTTGTCACAGTGATTGTTGTTTCAACGAGTTTCAAGATTGTATTTTAATGTCATAAATACCTAAACCAATTTTAGTGACATGCAGCTTAAGATGGCTGTCCTCAACGTGAAATAATCCATAAAATGTCCTGGATATATTAACATATCAAAGTAAGTGCGTTTTGTAAAAATGAATTAAAAAATGTAGATATTTTGGTTTCAAGTTCAAATGGCGGCACCGAAGTTGAAATTCAGGATATGGTTCGTGACTATGTTTAGAAAACTTCAAAAAAGCACCAAATTTACTCGTACCACATGATACCGTACCACAACGAGTATAGGCGCCAAATCCACCTATTCGCTAAGCCCGACTGTTATTTTGCCGCTCATTCCTACGCAATGCAGATGATTTTACTGGAAACATTATGTTTACTGATGAGGCCGGGGATATTCTTTGACATGTTACCTTTGTTTGTTCACTGAATCACTGTAATAGTGGTGAAAAAATCAAAACGTCTCATATCTCCGAAACCGTCCGTTTAATCCATGTTCATCAATACTTTTCTGCATATTTTGCGCCACACTATCCACCCTCAAGGTTTGTGACGTTTTTGTAGCAGCCTATGTAACAAATATGGTCGATTTACAAAGGTGTACATGCGCGTGTCGATTGAAGTTCTCTCTAGTCTCAAATCTGAACTCGGAGAGACGAAATTACAGGTTGTACAGACAAAAAGTTGTTTATTATTAAATTTCCCAACGAAATATGTGGTGAATACATGAAACTTTCCAAAAAGTTGCCTTTTTTTTATTATTAATAAGCTTACGCAATCGGCATCATGTTAATTGTCAACAATTGTTATAACAAAATAGGGGCTTGTCGCAAGTGCCAAAATTTTTTTACACATACAGTTGGATATCCTTTATCATATGCCATATGCGGAATATCGATAAATTAATTATAGCGTTGTTTATAACAAATTTTCTGGAGGTATAGTTTTTTACGCGACGTATAAAACCTCGTACATAGCAGCAAAAGAAAAAAATCCGTAGCGCAAATGATTTGCCAGTGAAAGTACTTCAAAAAACGCACATTTAAAAAAACATGTCGCTAAGTTATTTTATTGTTGAGATATTTAACGTCAAAGTTTTTGGCTCATATCTCCGCTCCTAATAAACTTTGTTTTTAATGAACGCAGACTTCAAATTTTAGGAGTAGATAGCTCATGAGATAAGAGAGATGAGATGAGCCAAAAACTTTGACGTTAAATATCTCAACTATACCTCCAGAAAATTTGTTATAAACAACGCTATAATTAATTTATCGATATTCCGCATACGGCATATGATAAAGGAGATCCAACTGTATATGTAAAAAGATGTTGGCACTTGAGAAAAAGCCCCTATTTTGTTATAACAAATTGTTAACAATTAGCGATTTTCCGCATTCAATTGATTATAACTCGGGGAACTATTTATCGCACAGATTGCCGATTGCGGGAGCTTATTAACAATAAAAAAAGGCAACTTTTTGGAAAGTATCATGACGATACGATTATTATTAACTGAGATAACTTGTTTAAAAACGGTTTTTTTTTCACAAATTTTGCTCGATTTCTCGTTAAAAAAATTAATTTTGCAATAATCGGGCATGAGCAATGCTCATATTTCGATGGGAAATTTAATAATAAACAACTTTTTGTCTCTTGATATTTTTTCGTAAGACGCATACTTTTCGAGATAATTCGACTTGAAGCGAAAAAATGGTGTTTCAGAAATAATTTGTTTATTTAAAACATGATGCAGGCACTTGCGTGATTCCGCCTTCTCGGATATTTAATCAGGACGGTTTCCTTTATATGAAACCGTTGGGACTTCTTTTATGGACTATTTTGTCAGTCCAAAACATAGATCGCCTAGACTATTAAGAGTTTTGTTCGGTTCACAGACAAATCTTGGCAGCTAGAGGGTGGATCAACGGAAATTTGAGATCGCCCTCCGCAGATCCGAGAGCGCATCATCCGAAAACGCCATTAGTCGCACTCGCAGTTCGAAGACGCACTAGTTATCGCGAAACGAGCGCACATTGTTGTATAATTGGCCGCTAATTGGCGTGAACACCTATTCGGAAGCGGTGCAGCGTGCGAGCCGGGCATGAATATTGTAATCGTAATGCGATAGAATTTGCGTGATGGTGATTCGTGCCATGGCGCAACCTGTAGGTAAAGAGCTATATCTATTTACCTTTACGTGTTGTGACGTAGGCAATTTGTTTGGAGGCGTGTGTGTGTGTGTGGCCGGTATGACGCGACGGGACCGAGACCGACGGTCAGCAGTTTTTATGGATATTTTCTGTATCCTTGGCAGGGTCGTTTTTTTCTATGTTGCGCGTGGTTCGCACGCAGGACTCCGATCTGCACGAGAAGCATTCGTTTCTTTGGGGCAGTGATCATTCTAATGATCCTAATGCATTTAGCATCTCTGGGATAGTCCCTATCGATTATACCGGGTGACCACGAGATTACTACCCAGGCTCAGCAGAGGCACGAAAAAAGATATCGATTTCAAATTTTGGGAATGTGTATCATTGAATGGGATGCAAAATTTAGTTATAAAAACGACTGATTATCACTTTCTGTTTGACAGGAAATGCCCTAAACTTTGTTATTTTATATGGAACACCCTGTGTATTATATATTTTTTTAATTCTACTGAAAAAAACTAACACTAAAACATGTATCATGTCCTATACCTATATTTGACAGTTTCCAAGAAAATCACGTTTGAAGATGTCAAATGTGTCATTTATAAAATTCTTTTGAAAAAAAACAAGTGAAGATAGGGACAAACTCATATGATATATTTAACTTATTTTAGAAGCACTAAAGCCTGATATCTTTAAAATTTCGCACTTTCGGCTCAACCGGAAAATAACGGAAGTCATCTTTAGTAGCAATTTACTGCAATAATTTTAATGGAATGCCCTATAACTAATTGGAAATTCGAATTCTACAAACAATTTCGAATCATTCTTATGTACACTTCCCTATAACCAAAGTTCATAGTTTTTGAGATATAATGTTTTATGAAAAAAAAAACATAAGAAGATAATAAATTTAAAAAAATTGCAACATCATCCATAAATTAAATGTTCAAATTGTCCACCATTCATTTCATGGCATAAATTATCCTGTTTTTAAATTCCCTAACAGATCTTCAATTTGAGCAAAAATGTTTTGCTCAAAATTTGAGCAAAAAGTGGCATTTTAAATAAAAAAGAGATGTAATAACACTACCACCAAATGTAAACAGCAAGAATTAATTGTCAAATTAAGCAACAATGAAGAAAATGACGTTTAAAAACAAAAGCCTGCGATAGCGCCTACCTATATTAAAATTCCTAGGCACCTCTGATAGATGCATTGACCGATTCTATCGTTTTCTATTTATGCATCGTTCATACCTATGACATTCTGACAATAAATATTTAATATCTCAAAAACTATGAACTTTGGGTATAGGGAAGTGTACATAAGAATGATTCGAAATTGTTTGTAGAATTCGAATTTCCAATTAGTTATAGGGCATTCAATTAAAATTATTGCAGTAAATTGTTACTAAAGATGACTTCGGTATTTTCCGGTTGAGCCGGAAGTGCGAAATTTTAATGATATCAGGCTTTAGTGCTTCCAAAATAAGTTAAAGATATCATATGAGTTTGTCCCTATCTTCACTTGTTTTCTTTCAAAAGAATTTTATAAATGACACATTTGACATCTTTAAATGCGATTTTCTCGGAAACTGTCAAAGATAGGTATAGCACATGAAACATGTTTTGCTCTTAGTTTTTTCAGTAGAATTAAACAAATATATAATACACAGGGTGTTCCATATAAAATAACAAAGTTTAGGGCATTTCCGGTCAAACAGGAAGTGATGATCAGTCGTTTTTATAACTAAATTTTGCATCCTATTCAATAATATACATTCCCAAAATTTCAAATCGATATCTTTTTCGTGCCTCAGCTAGAGCCTGGGTAGTAACCTCGTGGTCACCCGGTATATGCTCCTAATTAGAGTTTAGATTTGTGTAGAGGAACGGAATAAATAAATAAATCACACCACAGAAATTGACATTCTCCCTCTAAGAGTCGTTACGACTATGCAGAAAGAGAATACACATGGAAAAGACGTAGGACACACAACCAAACTCTGTGACAGGTGCCAATTACCACAGGCGGGATTCGAACCCGCGCTCTCGGAGTAATCGCCATCTTCTCAACTGTCGGTTTACCCACTGAGCTATCGCCGCGGCTAAAATATGCTGAGTATGTCCATTTTTATATCCTTGGTAGTGGTAGGATACACGAGTAGATGTAGATATTTGTGGGTGGGTCACCGAACATTAATTTGCACGATAATCATGCGTTCATTTCGAGTAATGATCATCTTCGCGATGATAACGGACTTATGATCCCTAGAGGGTCCGGACTTATGATCCGGATTAGGGTCCGGAAAGTGTGCTACAACGCAGACTCGGCTCTATATAACTCTATAAAAATTAGTAATAAAGTATAAACCTTATTTTTTAAGCGCCTTGTAAATTACGTACGCGTGTATTTCTTTCCCGTGCGTATGTACGCCACTGATCGTGCCTAGTAACAACACTGGTTCACTAGTTCAGGAACGATTAGATACAATTTATCCATATATCGAAACGACAATTCCGTAGTATTTTACGTTAGCTCGATGCGAGCGGATGGACGGTAGAACGCCAAGTTTAAAATAATTTTATATATCGTGAGTGACTATCTAATTGTAAGTGAACATACGTGGTTTGTAACGTACGTATTTATTTTAGATTTAGATTTGTTCTCGTATTTACATGTTATCTGATTTTGTGTAGATTTTTGCAATAATGTAACGAAAATTACGAGGATTTTACAATAGACGGATCACATATTTTATGTATTCCTTGTAATCATCGATATATACACATATATTTCGTAGATGCCGAGAGTGTGAAAGACATATAGATTCGAATATCCATCAAAAAATATTACTGGTACTGTTAGAAAAAAAAAAGGAATTTTGGTTTGATTTGTGCATAATGTTTTGCGCGTGTAGCCTTGCGTGGAACGTGGTCGACAATATTCGCTTTAGACGATTTTTTCCTGAATATGTATCAGATTTTCCATTGCCTAGTACCCATACATATTTACAGAAAACATATCAACGTGTCATGGGAAATATCAAAGAAGACATACGCAATTAATTTATGTGTCTGACAGTGGAAGAAACTACACATTTTTTTCGGTAATATAGTCATACTAAAAAAATATTCAATGTACTGATGCTAGTGACAACAAACAACTGTCTTTTTTTTAAAGCTCTTACAAATTCTCGAAGAGCAAATGCTAGTATGAAATAAGAAATTCAAATTTCAATAGCTTTAGGTATATAGTAGATCTCGAAATTTCGAAAAGACATGAATAAAAACATTTGTATTCACTTGGTTACTTTTGCAGCCCATTTACAAGATTTTGGGGGATACGTAGATTTAAAAAATGTTTTGTGCTTTTTCCGCCAGACTTTTGAAAAGTTCCATTTGGAGTGTTTTTTTTTAATTTTTCTAGTGTTTTTCTTTGTTTCTTCCATTTGGGTCTACTAATAGGTAACTTAAATGAATATCAAGTATCAATAAAATTTACCTTCGTTAATTTATTAGAAAAAAACTGTGAGCTTAATTTACCGTTATTGTTATTTTATCACAAACCATCGTTAAACTTATGTCCACATGTTTATTCGACATTTATAGCCATTTACAAAATACCACAGTATGTACATTATTCCAATTATTTTAATTATTGCGTGATTAATCTGTCGTCAGTTGATCAATTAGTATAATAGTCCATAAACTCAGTTTTTTATTTTAGTAGATATCCTATTGTTTTATAATTTTAGCAATTTTAATACAGATTTCTCAAAGTTTGATAACTACATAGGCCTAAATAATAAATAATCCATTTATCTTATAAAATTAAGTGCAACCAAGATCCTAGATTGTACGACCGAACCCAGGTCCCCAAGAAACAATCTGGGTTTTACTTAGGTTCGCCTAATTTTGACATACAGTGCTATTCATAAAGTTTGTGGAAAAAAATTGTGCTTGCATTTAAGAAATTCTTTTGATCGTCAATTGTTTGGGCATGTCTTTAAACTAAAATAGCGCCCATGAAACCTTGTAAAAAGTTCATAATATACGAGTAGCATACGAAAATTTGAAATCGACCCAAGAGTAAACTGTCTTTATTTTCAACCCTAGAGAAAAAATATTATAAAGAAAAGTCATTCCTTTGTAAAAGGTTAGCCCCAGAAAGCGGTTCCTGACATTTCTTCAACTTACCCTCGTACCACAATCCGATCAAAATCACTCATCATTCAAATCATATTTTCTGGCGACTCATCTCCAAGAAAAATATTCAAAACAATGTAAATGGGAAACGAATAAGTAAATTATAAAAAGGTCAGCAAGAAATAAATGAATTTTTGGTGCAAACTTTATTTTATATTCAAGAATAATATAAAGAATACCTAAATAATTATGGTAAACCTCATAGAAAGAACACTTTTGGAGGCGATAGTTTTGTAATAACATTTGAAAAACTTGCAAAATTATGTTCCTTAAAAAGTACAGTAATATTTAATTGAAATATTTTAAAACGCAATTTAAATCGTTATGTGGGGATATTTAAAGGAAAAAATTCATATAAACTTTTCAAAATATTGGTCATTTTGAAGAAGCTATTCGTCAGTTTGTGGATGAAATTTCCACAGTTTCTTGTTAATGTCGAGAAAGAAATGTTCAGAAAAACTGTTTTATGTCTCCAAAACGAAGGAAGACACACCTTCCTTGTCCATATTCCACACAGTAGAATAAACATTATTGAAGAATAGTTGCTTTAAAAAGGGCGCCCTTCGAAGTTCCTTTAAATAATATTTCTATTTGTGTAAAATACTAATGTCTGTTATACTTGTTACTTTTACTGTTTCTTATATTTCCACACCCGGCGTTTTCATAATACTAATAGTTAATGTGATTTTAGTTTTCTTTCTCTATTTTTTTGTTTGTTTGAAATCTTCATAACATTAATCGAAATCAATATTCAATTTTGAATTAAAATTTTTATTATTATTTTATTAATTTTCATTATTATTATTTTTATTCTATTGTTATTTTGCTGTTATATTTTTTATTTTTGTAGGATTTATTTTGTTTTTTAATTTATTCTTAAAATCTCAGATTATTTATCATTATAATAATGATTAGGTATTTATTTTTTTTATTTATAAAACATTACTTTTATTGCGGCAATGAATTATTTTAAAGTTCTGCGGTGCGAAAAACTGACTCAAGACTTATTTTACTTGTCGGAAAAAAATGATGTTGCCCAACCCTGACTACACGAGTGGCCCAACCTTGACGACACAGGCAACAGGTTAGGGAATAAAATTTTTCCTTTGGGAACTTTGTTAATGGTTAACCCTATAATGGAAATTTTCGGACTACCGAAAACAAGATGAGGGCACAAAACTTTTTACAGACAATCTCCGTGACAAGCAGTACTCTGAAAAAGTTTTCTGTCATCGAGAATAATTCCACGCTATAAACACAGAGGCAGCACGTGCCATATACGAGAAATAGCCGTGGCCCAACCTAGACAGTGACCCAACCCTGACGAAATTCCCCTATAATATTTTTTCTAGGGTTCTATATTATCAACTTTTTAGTAGGTTTGACGAGGGCTATTTTATTTTAAGGACATGCCCAAACAACTGACGGTCAAAAGAATTTCTTAAATGCAAACACAATTTTTTTCCCATATGGTGCAAACTTTATGGGTGTCACTGTAGATATTCCGCATTTAATATACGACTATGTAGTACATACCTAGTCGTAGTACCGTAACTTCGACTGTATCTGTTGTATATGTGGTCAAAATTATTTTCAGTAATCAACCAAACAACAGTGGCAAATCTGCATATTTTTAATGATCCATGATTTCCCGAGGGCACGAACATTAAAAAATAATAAATCATTAAAAAACTTCCGATAAATATTCGTCATGAGGTCGACACAGCGAGTGACTATTTTTTAATTACGCCTCCGAAAAAAAAACTAAATAGATTTCGATGTAAATCCCCAAAATGCCTCGTGTTTATTACTAGAAAAAGCTCATAAATAATTAATAAGCACATTAGGCGTGGCGATAAATTATACAAAAAATAAAAGTGAAAAATATGCATTCCTTGTGTTTTATTCAAACATCAGTTAACGCGCAAAGCGAAATATTAGACCGAGTTTTGTTTTTATGAGTATAATAAAGAAATGTACCGATAATCACGAGTTTCTGCTGAATGTAAAAATTTTATCGGCCTTTCCGTTTCATAGCGAGTGAATAACATAAAATAAAAATAATAGAATTCAGCAAATATATTTCATCACGTTCTTGAAGCTGTAAAAACGTTATTTGAAAAGAATGAAATACAAAAAATGAATGAAATAAATCACTGTATATACTCTAAAATTCTTTTGCGAGACCAATGACAATGGTCTCAATTCACAGTGGTTGTGATTAATATAGTGGTCATTCATTGTATTAAATTAAGATCAAGGTGTCCAAATCAAAAGCTGTAGTAAGTGACTCACCCTCATAATATTTTTATTTTCAGATATAAAACAATGATTTTATATTATTTGGAATTAGACATAAATCTGCATTTATTGACATGATCGTCATTTTTTACTCAGTTCCGGTTGAAACGGAAATGGTCCCAACTTCAGAATTTTCAATGGTACCTTTTTTACATTTATTTTCACTTGTTTTAATTTAAAATGCCATTCTGAATACATTGATGCCCCGTTTACCATTTTTTGACACATCATGTTATTCAATTTTTTATTCACATCTTCTGCTCTAGAGTGCCTTAAAAATTATTAAAGCGTTTCGGGTTGAGTCAAGTTGACGTAGAAAAAAAATGAGATTATCTTGTTTTTGTTTCTACATTTTTTAAATATTTAAATGATAGGAAGAGAAATTAATAAATTAACAGTATGGCTCACAAGATCTTTGAAATGTACACTTTGATATCATACACTTCTTGTACTATTTAAGAATTTTCAAGAAGAAATGCAATCAAATATCAAATATCCAAAACCACCACATAACCCAAAAAAAAAACAAAAAAAAAAACAAAAACAAAAAAAACAATTCCCCCCAATGTCCAGAAAGAAAAAAAAACAAAAACCCCCCC